ACCTAGACACAGGAGAACTATTGTCGTGAAAGTGTTGTACAGTCGATTACAAATTTAGATTGCAGAGAGTTTGTTCTGAGCGCTAAAGGCACTCACGATAGAGCACATTTTGCTTTATTCTAACATGAAGATTCTGGAGCCGAAGAAGATGAAGATGTTCCGGTGGGATACCAGCTCATTGAGCTTATGACTGTTCTTGATGTCAAGATGGATCTCACACGGAAGGCACGAATATGTGCTAGAGGGGACCAAACGGATCCTCCAATGTCTGCCACCTATGCAAGTGTTGTGACAAGGGAAAGTATTCGACTTGCTTTTGTTATTGCTGCTTTGAATGGTTTGAATGTTTTGAGTGCTGACGTCTCCGGTGCATATCTGAATGCCAAATGTGCCGAGAAAGTTTATTGTATTTTAGGGAAGGAGTTTGGAGAATATGCCGAGAAGAAAGCTATCCTGGTTAAGGCCGTTTACGGACTCAAAAGTTCCAGGTTTGCATGGAGGAGTGTTGGGATATGACGAAATATGAGTTTTTACGTTCCAAAAGAAACTATTCAAGTACGAGGTTTTCGACACGTGCGATCGGACTTTGATCATGCGCGATGTCGGGATTTGACGCAAGTATGCCGGACGCAAGTCTGTCGGACAATCTGTATCCACACAAACGGGAAAAGATCCTGTACAAGTGGAATATCGATGTTGTGTACGATGCAGTAGGGAATTATGCAAGATATCCCAAAGTACTGCATTCAACACAGAATTGCCGTAGAAGTCGAATCGAGTTCTGTAAACAAGGGATTTTCCAAGGGAAAATCGTCGAACTCACTTTTGTGATTGAATCATCAATTCAAGTCAAACATTAATCAAATAGGAACAATTTCACTCAAAGTATACCTAGACACAGGAGAACTATTGTCGTGAAAGTGTTGTACAGTCGATTACAAATTTAGATTGCAGAGAGTTTGTTCTGAGCGCTAAAGGCACTCACGATAGAGCACATTTTGCTTTATTCTAACATGAAGATTCTGGAGCCGAAGAAGATGAAGATGTTCCGGTGGGATACCAGCTCATTGAGCTTATGACTGTTCTTGATGTCAAGATGGATCTCACACGGAAGGCACGAATATGTGCTAGAGGGGACCAAACGGATCCTCCAATGTCTGCCACCTATGCAAGTGTTGTGACAAGGGAAAGTATTCGACTTGCTTTTGTTATTGCTGCTTTGAATGGTTTGAATGTTTTGAGTGCTGACGTCTCCGGTGCATATCTGAATGCCAAATGTGCCGAGAAAGTTTATTGTATTTTAGGGAAGGAGTTTGGAGAATATGCCGGGAAGAAAGCTATCCTGGTTAAGGCCGTTTACGGACTCAAAAGTTCCGGGTTCGCATGGAGGAGCCTCTGTGCAGACGTTTTGAAGGAACAATTGGAGTTCCAACCATGTCGTGGAGATATGGACGTTTGGCGTCGTCCTTGTCAACACAAAGATGGCTCGAAGTATTATGAGTATATTTTAGTTTATACTGATGATGTCATTGCAATCTCGGAGAATCCAAAAGCGATTATGGAAAAACTCAACAATTTCTTTGTTTTAAAGCCTGACTCGATAAAAGAGCCAACAACGTATCTTGGTGCAACAATATCGAAGCATAAGTTGGATGGTGATGATTATTTCACCTGGGCTATTGGATCTGAAGCTTACCTACAAGAGTTGTTAAGAGTTGTCAAGAAGCCAATTGTGCCAATGCAACGGACTTTGAAGAAAAATGTTTACTCAACTTCACCCACTGGATACAAGCCGGAACTTGATTCTACTCCTTTTGTCGATGATGATACTGCTATTTTCTACATGCAACTCATCGGTATTCTGCGCTGGCTTGTGGAACTTGGTTGTATCGATGTCGCCGCCGAAGTGTCTATGCTCTTGTCTTACAATGCAATGCCTCGTGAAGATCACTTTCATGCTGCCTTACATACTTTTGCCTATTTACAGAAGCACCCTGATCGTGTACTTGTGATGGATTGTGGTTATGCTGATCATCTGAGACCATTGAAGAAAGCTGACTACTCACAGTTCTATGAATTCACTAAGGATGAACTCCCAAGTGACATGCCTACACCTCTTTGCAAAGCGGTAGAGTTTACTATGTTTGTTGATGCATCTCATGCTGCTAACGTTGTTACTCGTCAATCAAGAACAGGAGTATTGATCTTTGTTAACAAAGCTCCTATGATCTGGTATTCGAAAAAGCAAAACAGTGTTGAGACAAGCAGTTTTGGATCTGAATTTGCTGCTCTAAAGACAGGTGTTAAATTATTTGAGGGACTACAATTCAAGCTCAGAATGATGGGCGTCCCAATCCAAGGTTATTGTCATACTTGTGTCGAAAATATGTCCATTGTCAATAACTCAAGTGTTCCTGAATCTCAATTGAAGAAGAAATCGAACGCTGTCGCATATCACTACGTTCGCTCCAAATGCGCGATTGATATCCTACGCATTGAATGGATCATTTCTGCTGAGAACTTGGCCGATGTTTTAACCAAGATCCAACCTGGAACCGTTCGTGACCGTCTTCTGGAACAAATCATGTGGAAAGCAAAGCAAAATGGAAAACTTGCTCTTTTGATTTAATTTTTGGAAACGTCTTCATCCGTCGCCAGATATTGTCAGTCTTGGACAGGATTGGATGATACTCCTCCCAAGAGGGGGTACGGTTGATATTAGCCCAATTCGGAGTACAATGTTCTCTGATACATCAGTATCACCTTGAGGGGACCGTTAATTGGACCAGAGAGTGTCCGTCATTCGTACGTTTAGATAGTTTAACCTAGAGATTCGCACACATCTTGTAAAATCCCCATGTTTGTCATCGTACTCGTTTTCGTCCCATCTCTCGTACCTCACTACTCAATTTAACGCGAAATCTGTTACTCGTACGTGTACCGGTAGTGCATTAACTACACCGCGCCGGGACGCACCACAACGTCAAACGCACGCCCGAAATCTGTCCGTTTAGATTGTTTTGAGATTTTTTTTAAAAGCTAAATAATTTGAACGTGTCCGTTAAAATGCTCTGCGTCTTTGACGGGGGACGTTTCTTTTGACGCGGGATTGACGCGAGTTGCGTCATTTGACGCGTAATCGGCGTCAAACTGACGCATCTCTGCGTCAATGTGACGCATCTCTGCGTCAAACTGACGCAACTCCGCGTCAAACTGACGCAACTCCGCGTCAATTTAACGCAGGCTTGCATGTCTTCGACGCGGGACAAAACCCGCGTACCCGTACACGTGTACCAGTTCATCATTGTGATGAAAACATCGGAGTATGTGAATGAATGGAAGTTGGAGTTGTCCACTCGCCTCTCATTCCAATGAGAAATGCCCATTTCTTCAAAGAAGTTATTTACACTGTGACCTTCGTATCGACTGCCATCTGAGTCCACAGAGCAAGTAACCGGATATTGAACAATGGATCTGATGGAAATTGACAAAGCTGGGGCACATAATGGCGATGATGCTATTATCCAAGCAAGACGCAACGACCTCATAAATGAGTTCGAAGCCCTCGATGAAATTCACCAACAGATATTTTGGTTTTATTACCTACACATCTTCACCAGCGGAGGTATTGGTGGAGATATTGAGCTCTGTGGGTCCGTCTTTCACTACAAAATTACGGCAGCTTGGACAGAGAAAATCTCCAAGCAAAAATTCACCTACAGAGCAAAGAAGCTGAAACCACTTGTATTGAAATTTCAAGAATATAGTTTACGCCCAACAGGAGATGTCCCTTTTTTTCTTGTTCCATTGGATGGTGGAAGAAGACCCGATCGTGTAACGTTGGACACTCTCCGCTGGGTGCAACATCCGCGAAACCCTCAGCCAAGTGAGATGTGGTGATGACTAATAGTTTCTTGTTTGTAGGAGTTGTAAACTTTAAACGGAAGATGGTATTCAAAATAGAACCTATAATTTGACTTTTAAGTGCTACACGGCTAGTTTGATTCTTATTTGACGCGGCCATACTATCTCATGGGTTTGCCTACTGTTTTTGTGCCTGTGACTCCTTTCCGAAGCATCATCAGATAATATAAGAAGTAGGGTCGTCTTGGACATTCATTGGAGTATCTCCAAGGTTTGGCATCTCGAGCCCAGCCTCACTGTTTTGTTCATCAGCGGAATCCCCCAGATAGCCCCTGTACTGCTCAAACATCTTGTAGAAAACATATTTGAGAATGGATTTGGCAATATTGGGACTGACCTTTCTTTCATAGGCATACTTAGCCAGGGATCTGGCAACGTCTCCCATTCCTTTCAGGATCTTTCTGCTCTCCTTGTCTCGATTGTTCAGGAACTTATCGCATCCGGCATTCTTGTTGAACACCAAAGAACGAGGTATGACAGAAGATGTGTTAAGCCGTGTTGTGTAAAACTTTTCACTACCTTTGAACGTCATTCCAACATTGACTGAATTTTCACCAGAGTATCCAGCATTCCCTTTGGATAAGTCAACCCAACATCGCTTGTAATCACTAGTGGCATATTCTCCACCAGTGATAAGCAAGCGCGCTCCTTGGTCTAGGTGCTCCTTTTCAATTTTTGGCTTCTTCTCCTTTTTGCTTGGCATCGTGGCTTTTGGGCTTATTCAGCTAGAAATTGTGAGATGTGAAATAAATGGACTTTGACGTTGCTCCTTCAGCGAGGACAACGTGATTTTGCAATGCAAACACGCCATGTGGCTATGCTATCGCTCAGCCGTTTTGTCTAAGTTTGGGGTTTTCCTGATATCACTACACAGCGGTAGCAAGAAGAGTTAAAAATACCGTGAAATGCTCAACAAAAAAGGAAGGCCGGTTTTGCAAAAACATGTGTGTCATTTAAAAAAATAGTTTTCACTACGGTTGCAAATTTCAAAATATTGCATACTGCGTGTGTTAGCTACTTCGGGGGTGATATGCCGGTAGATAGAAGCAACGTTGGACTATTCCTTGGCATTTCAACCTATAGGATGGTGGACTTCATATTGTTGGTGACAGAATCAACATCAGCACCATCAGCACCATCACTCTGTGTGGAAATCACTGTTTCAACTCCCACTGGTGGTTCTGGTTCACGCCTGGAACGGGATCGAGTTCTAGATGCTACTGAAACGACATCATCGTTGGCTTGTTGGACCTCGCTCGTTCTACTGTTCCTGACAGGAGAGAATTGTGGCATACTGACGTTTCTTAGCATCGGAGGTTCATGCTGGTGGATGAAAGCGGGAGGATTTTCAGGCAGTGGACTTTGGTGCTGAGTTCGGGTGTGCGGAGAATGAGTGTATGGGGAAGCTGCATGTTGGTTTTGATGAACCGTTGTTGCCATTGGGACAAAGTACGGAGATAGGCCAGGCGATCCCATTGCTGCAGCATGATATGCTACTCTTGGTGGTGTGGCTGCTGCTGCCCCCTGATAGTAAGACTGGCCATGTGGAGCAGCGGCATGAGGACCTCCGTTGTTTGGATAATGCTGCTGCTGAAAGTGAGAATTGGGTAGATAGACGACATCTTGGTAGCTTGGCATCATGGTGAATGGAACAGAGGGGTGCTTTCCTGGAACGCCGGGTGGATCTTCCATCCGTTCGATAACTTGCTTTCTGGTGTTTGCTTGATTTTTGCTGGCTTGGTGGCCAACTGATCTGCTTCGAATGATCATCGTCTGGCCTTCTAAAAGGTCAAAGGAGAGGTGACGGAAGTTCTGTGCGCTAGGAAACTCCATCCGTAGTCTGATCAAGCCGGCCACCTCATCTGCAGAATGAGCCATACCAATACGCATCTGGGCTGCCAGATTGTGAAAAATGAGATTGCCGGTATGTCTGTCGATGAAATCTAGTGGTATGGCGACATTGGCGCCTTGAGGCAACTCAAAATTCAAGATGGTGTCTGTGTTGTTTACCAGGTTTGGTTTGCCCACCGCGGGGAGATTGATAATGGCAAGCGTCTCTTTAAAATATGTCCTATCATGTGTGCTGCGCTCCCCTGTGCTGCCATCCTGCTGTGCATAGACAAAACTGGAGTAAGAAATTCCGTTGAGACAGACTTTGAGCTTGCCGTCAGACATCGTGGAGATTCGTTTTGGGACTGACTCCTCGTTTGAAGACACCGACAATTCTGAGTGATCTTGTTGCTTGTTCTCGTTGTGGTCTTGGTTGTTTGCTGATACAGACTCACTCTTGTCGTCTGCTTGAGACTGGGGTTCGAAGATACTATTTTGGATGGAGTCTCCTCCTTCGGTTGTGATGGTAGTAGCTGAGGTTTCTCCTCTGATGGGTTCTTTGCTTGATGAATCTTCGCTTGAATATGATGAATCTTCGCTTGAATATGATGCGGCCACCATATGAGGATCTGCTCTTGTTGATGACACTGAACCAGTTGATGCAGTTGTGGTTGGGTATGCTGGTGGTACAACAGCGTGTGGGAAGTTTGGAGCTAGGCTCAGATCAGGATCGCACGATGGTACAGTGCCTGCTCAAGACAAGAGACAAGCTCACAGTCAGTATAATGCATAGGTAAATCACAAATGCATTGGATCAACATCCTACCTTCTTCTTCAAATTTCAAAGCAAGTTTGGCTGCGTACTTGGCTTGAGTGCGAAAAATATCTCTAGTATTGAGTTTTGTCCCAGGTGCAATAGTCTTCCACTTTTGCCACTGTCCAACAGTTCCTGGGTTGTCGTGCCGTTCGTTGAATGTCCCGCTAGTAATTCGCGGGTTCAACCCGAGCTTTCCACCGCTTGAAATGTGCAAGAAGAAGAGAAGAACAAGTGTTTGGATCTCTGCAGCCTTGTTCAATAATTGCTCTTCAGCTGGTTTTGTCTCTGTATGATGTTTTGTACCTTTGTTATCACGCCTTGTTTGTGGCATGATTGCTGGAAATTATGAAAAAGTATTGGAGTTTTAGCAACTAGTCTCCGATTGTGTTTTCATTCCGTTGGGTGATATAATTTCCTGCCAACTGCAATGCTGTCAGTCCCAGGAAAGTTCAATTTGTGGGTTTGCGTATCAGATACGTCTGGTGCGCGTTTCAAGCAAACCCGAGAATGCCGTTGGTTTAAAGTTACCTAAAAACTGAGAACCCAAAAACGCAAGTTCGCGCTCACAAATTTTGGTCTGATTCCTCCGGACTATAAACAATGCAGCAAACACGGCAAGGCCATCATGTGGTGCGGGTCCCATCATTTAGTCCAGCCCAATTCAGAACCATTGCGATTGCCACGTTACGCACTCCAAACCAAAAAAAGAACTGGATGTATACCGACCAATCACAAGCAAGAACGTGGGCATGCTTCTTTGGCACTTCGCCCAAGGTAGCTAGTAACATTTGGAACAGACTAGCTGAAAGTAACAAAATTCCCAAGGGTGGTGCCCCACGTCATCTTCTATATGCTTATGTTCTACTCAAGAAGTATGCTGGCGATGACGCCAATGCAAAGATGGTTAGTTGCACTGCAACTACATTTCGTAAGTGGGCTTGGATTTTCATTCCTCTTGTGCATGACCTACACCACCAGGTGATTCGGATGGATCTCCGACTGATTGGATGGAACAAGTTGGTCACAATGGCTTCAATTGTCTACAATGCTACTACGTTTGGGTGCTTTGATAAGTGGCCGTTCGACAGTAAAATGTGGGATGTTAAACGCCACAAAGCAGGCCTCAAGTATGATGTTGCTAGCTCTATTCACAACGGCTATATTGTCCATTGGAGCGGTTGGCACAAGGGTGGCAAGTCGGATATAAAGATTTTCCGAGAGGAGCTGAAGTCAAAATTGGACGCAGGTGAATGTGTCGAGGCTGATGCTGGGTGTTCAGGCGAATGCTGTTTGAAGAATCCTCAAGTCGCCAAATCGCGTCGGGCAAAGCAGCAAAAGGGTGTTGTTCGTGCAAGACAAGAATGTGTCTTTTGCAAGATGAAAAAGTTCCAATCATTGCGAGGTATTTGGATCCATAACTATGATAAGCATACGTTTGCGGTAGGTGCTGTCCTGGTATCAATACAAATTGGTTTAGAGCTTGGAACTGTGAAATTTTGGGATATACCTGACTATGAAGCCGAGTACTTCTGAGAAACGGATCCAGAACTGTAGCCCCATAGCATAATGACGTAGCTGGTGTCAGAACCTGTACTGTGCTCTTATAACATTGTGTTTCTGGCCTCGCTTGAGTTTGACGCGGGATTGACGCAACTGCATCTGTTTGACGCGGGATTGACGCAACTTCTTGAGTTTAACGCGGGATTGACGCAACTTGCGTCAATCTGACGAAAAAATTTGCGTCAAATTGACGCGGATTTGCGTCAAATTGACGCAAAATTGACGCGGGGCGTGCCCGTTTTGCGTCAAATTGACGCGCGCCCGCGCTGAAATGGCAACGGACACTTCACGTTTTCAAAAAAAAACCATATTAAACAATTAACGGACATTTCAATTTGCGTGCGTTGCACGTTGTGGTGCGTTCCCGTATTACCTCCGGACAATTCGACTCCCTCGACCAGAGTCCGCCGTTCTGGAGCTCTCTCTCGATCTGCGAGAGACACAAGAACCTCAGAATGGCAAAGTCAAACTCTGAAAATGAAGTCGGAATTGTGGTCACATACTATATTAATGGATGTGGAGAGGATCAAAGTGTTCATGCCGCAACAATTCCTAGTGCCGATACCAAAAAGTCGAACGTAGGGAGGCCCAAGCAGGTAAAGATTTGTCTCAATTTGACTGTGTCAATGTGTGCTTCTTCTTCATCACCGCTCATGTCTCTTTTCTGTAGCTTGTTCCAGGTGATTACAGCTATAGGTAAGACTTAAGGATGCTAGAAACCCGGTTTGAAGCCCATGATATGTTCTCAAATCTCCGAATTCGATTCATAGCGGGAGGCATGATCATGGGGAACTTCCACCTCTAAGAGAGCAAACTGAGTTGGGTAGATTGCTTGTTTGTGTGAAAGAAGCTAAGGAGCGCAATGACCGATTCATTACCGAAAAGATTCAAGAGTTCAAGAATCGTGAGATGAAAGAAGATGATTGTGATCCACCTACTAAGAAACCGAAAGTTAAAATTTGATTTTTGTGTCCGCCAAGAATTTATATTTGGCAATTTGAAATTTGGCGTCCATATTTCCTTTGTTTTCTAGTTTTGATGATTGCAACGTCTTCTTGGAGAGAGCCCCCCCGCTGTGCCAGAATAGAGTCCAAAGTCTTGTCTCCAATCTGAACATCAAGCGTCTCCCCATCAAGGAAACTTTCAAGCCTTTTCGAAAACGAAGAACTCTCCATTACGCGGTGAGAAGGTTCCATTCGTCTTTTTTTTCGCTTGGAAAACGAGGCATCGTGTTGTTGGAGCTCTCGGCTTCCTGATTTCTTTCGGTTGACTAGTTCAGTTACTGTGTGGCTGCTCTTGGCGTTTGATAGCGGGCGAAGGTCATCACTAATTGACTGTATTTCGCCATTTGCAGCAACTGATTGATTTACTGTACCCGTTTCAAAGAAATCAACAGTAGTAGAGATGTTGAGCTTGAATCTTGATGGGATATGATAGCTTGGGCTCCCCTGAGACTTCGACGAGAGTAATTGCGACAAACGCCTACCCACGCCCGATATCAAGGAGTCGGCAACCCCGCTTGGGAAGTAGATGTACCTATTGCTTGACACCTCTATTTGGCCCATTCTCCAACCCAGCGCTTTTTCTAAGCATCCACGAAACTGGCGCCTAGATAACATCGATGCACAGGCATCTTTCAGCCTTCGTGGTGCGTCTCTCCCGAGCAAATCAGTTACCACTTCGCGGAGTGGAGAATTGAACACGTGCAGGAGGTGAGATACCTCTGAGTCAAAGCCTTTTTTATCTACGCTCTCAATCCAGTTGACTGGTAAGCCTTGTCTTTGAGAAAAGTAGTCATCAACCATTCCTGTCGAAGACGAAAATTCATTCGGGGGCCAACTCCGCAGATCTGTTCTGTTCTTCTTCAGCTTAAACGAAACTTCTTCTGACAATGCCAAAAGAGCGATTCTCGAGCGACCCATAATGTCGTCTTCGTTCTTTGTTCCGCTTGAGAATGGCATCCACAGGGACTTTATTATTGCTTGCGACGCAATGGAAAAGAAATGCTTTCTTTCGACCGAAAAAGAAAAGTCTCGAAGAAACATACGTGTCAGTACTTTACAGGCTGACGACAATGCACTTTCAAAAGCTTCGGTTGATACAGCCTTAGGATGAATTGCGGTTGATCCCCTTTCGTCAAGATCTCTTCTGTTGGAATATTTGGCATCGAGGAGTAGGACGACAGATTTTGCTGCAGGTATTACAGACGAACTTCTTCCACCACCAGGATGTAAGCATAAAACAACATCACAATCGGAAATATCGCGCTCGTTCCGACATAGGACTGCAAGTGATCGCACGGTGAAAGATGTTTCCTCAGTAACATGGACCTCTCCTGTCTCGAGGGCAGACGAAATCCAAAGACGAACTAGCTCCGACACTCTGTCTGCACCTTCGTGTGACTGGACTACGACTCCGAGCTTTAAGAGAATCGTTCGTGTTTTGGATGCTCTATTTTGCAGAGCGTTCCTTTGGCTTTCCACGTTCTGAAATGTCGCCAATTCTTCCAAAACAAGGTGCGATAGATCAATCCTCTTCTCAACACCAAGCCGCAAAAGAGTCTCAAGGACGCTTCTGGTTCCTGCTGCTGGAAGTGACTGTTCTGCGATTGAGCTTCGTTCTTCATCCGCTGGATTTGCCATCAAGGGATCAAGATAGAGAGTACTCTTGAAGAATGTAGGATCAATGTTCTGTAAGTCATCTCTTGAGTTTCTGATCAATTCTAAATTTCGAGATAGACGACGGACCCAGCGTCTAAGCAACAATGTCTTTGTTGAAAAGAGTATCAAATCTTTCAGGTCTTTCTTTCGTTGTTCCTCCGCCTCTTTCACCTTCTGCAACTCTAGTGCCTGGGCAACCACTGCAAGCCGGCGAGCCTCAGCCTCCGCTTTCATTTTTTCCATCTCTGCCTCGACTCGGTTTCTCTCCTCTGCAAGCTCCTTTTCTTGTTTCCGCCGAAGTTGCTCCCTTTCATGCTGTCGCTGTTGTTCGTATTCAAGTTTTCTCTGAGCCTCAACCTCAAACTTTCTGCGGATCTCAATCTCCTCCAGCCTTCTTTGAGTTTCAGTTTCAAACTTCTTGCGAGTCTCAGTCGCAAGTTTTCTCCGAGCCTCGACCTCAATCTCCTTGCGACGTCTTTCAGCCTTGAGTTTGACCCTCTCTTGCGCAGCCATGCGAGCCGCTTCTGCCACCATCCTTAAGTTTCTTTCTTTTGTGACACGTTGCTCCTGGCACTTTTCGTCTTCGTTCTTTGCAACTTGTTTGTTCTCATCTTGTAGACTTTTGATAAAGGTTGCCTCGTCTCTCTGTCCTTCTCTGATGGCCTCTGTCATAGACGAATCCATCGCTTGGTCAAGATCAATGATCCTTGAACCCGGAAGAACCTTCTGGCTGTCATGATTCTTTGAGACGGATTGCAAATCTTTGGCTGTGGAAGAATTTTCCTTTTTCCAGTCGGAATCCATCTTACCTGAAGTCTTAGGGATATCAAGTGTACCTGCTAGGTGTATTCCAGCTCCTCCACTTGCCTCCCCTCTACAAATTCCTAATCTTGTTGCGCCGTGATGTTTGCTTTCGATTGTCTTCATCATTTTCCTAGGCTGGAGCGGCAATTTATAACCTTTCTCAGAATGCACAGGTTCTTTGAAGTCGCTCTTTCTCCAAAAAATAAACTCCATGACCAGGCTTGATGATTCGGAGGACTTGACTTTCATTGCCTTCACCGTGATATTGTAGTGGTTGCAAGCATGCCTCGCTTCGTCATCATCTTCGTAGCAAAGGAGGTGACGAAAGCGCTTCAATGGATAGCCATCATAAATGCTCTCCCCAGTATCTTTTCTCCGTGTGCCATAGGTTTTACTCATTATCCGAATAGCCACTTGGAAATGCGATTAGGAAATTTTGTGGCCGACGGGAGTGATATAGCAGCACGACTTGTCTCACCTTTTCGCATCAGTTCGACATACTTGAACATGATGCATCCAAAGAGATAAGGTGTTGTAGGTGATTTAAGGATTTGAAAAAAGCGAACATAATTGAATTCTTTCTTTGCCTACCCATATATGGATATCAGAGTGTAACTATGGTCAGTCGTAAATCAAATGCATATCTGCGAAGCCAAGAGTTGGAACTATACCTTGTATATGTTCATGGCAAGCTGAACTGGCTTGGAGTGATAAATGGAAGGTCTCTCCTTGAATAGTTTCCCAGCATACTTCAACACTTCCATCCCACCATCATTGTTGATCGTTAAAAGAATGTAGAGGCCCCGCATTTCGGCTTCAGCGGTGCCGTGAGTGGAAGAGTGGACTGCATGTTTTCCAATAAGCCTGTTTGATACTCTTGTACCAGTACTGTCATTCTGAAGTTGTGATCCATCGAAATCCCTTGGACAAACTCCTTGAACTGAGTCTGCCGAGCACCCGTGTGCATATGGAGACAAATCTGTCCTTGTTTCTATGCCCGAATCGTCTGGTACCTCAACCATCGATCGATTTAGGTCGTCGTCATAGAACTGATTTAACGTTTTCATTGTCTGCCCCAATTCTTGAATATTCTGCTGACTCTGCATGTTTGTGAACTCTGGAATGTGACTCAACTGGTGTTCACACATCGCATGCCACCGCCCGATGCGCTCGTGGCATCGCACTGCTCTTGCGTCGCATTTCCCGCCCGAACCAACATAGTTTTGAAGGGTGAAGTCCTTGCGGATCATCCTTGTGCGATTCCATATGAATTGATACACATCTAAAGGTTGTGGCACCTGCTGTCTTGGGAAACGCGGATCCGGTCCTTGCCGGTCTCGATCCTAGTCAAAAAGTCTTCGAATTAGTAAACCCAACCTGCCATATCCTCCGAAAACAAGCGGATACAACAAGTATTACTGACCATAACCCATTCCTCCAAGTAGCCGCACACATTTTCAAGAATGTCTGGAGGCCGAACCCATTCTGGAACATCGAGCTATAAAATGGGATAGGATGAAATACATGTATTCAAAGAAAAGAAGATATGCTGAAAGTCGTACCTTGTAATCAGCAGCAGAACGACGGAATCGTTTTATCACTGTATTCCGGAGTGTCCAATTTTTTGGATGGAGAGTTCCCGGAAGTGGGATCTCGAGCAGCTGAATATCGTTCTCTCGTTCGCGGCGGAGTAGTTCGTCGTCTGGACACATATGTGTGCAAGTTCCAACCAAGGCGACAGCATTCTTTAAATCTTCCCGCTCATCTCGATTGCCTGAATTTTCGTCGATGTTAGTTGTAACCTTGATTCCATGCGGCAGCAAATCACGGGTTTTGGAATTGCCTTCATCCCCTTGCGATTTTCGGAACGAGGAGAACCCCGTGGTGTCTTCACGTGGTTGTTCAGAATCACCCTTATTCACGGGGTCAGGTTCAGAGCCAGGAACAAATGAAGGCACCGCTGCGTTTAGAACGCTGCGATCGGATTGCTGTTTTCTCTTTTCCAATAACTTTCTCTTTTTCTCTTCTATTTTTGCCTGCAAACGCTTCCTCTCCTCCATCTTTGCTTTCAAACGTCGGGCTTGTTCGTCTAGTGCAATATCGCCAGGACCGCTATTCCCATCGAATTCGCAATTGCCATGAGCATAGAGCAAAACTGGTTTTGAGGCCGAGGCCGAGGAGTTCTTCGTGAATCCATTTGTTGCTGGATTTTGGGGTTTTGGTTGTTGCTTGCCAGCAAATGAGTGAGTAGCTCCATTAATGGACTGAAATGGATTTACTCCTCCACCTTCAAACCGCTTATTATTGGGTTGACTTGTGACACCGAAACTTTTGGAAGCAAAAGAAGAACTCTGACCTCCCTCATTGCCAAAAGGTCTTCCTCTAGTTGAATCCATTCCCGCAAAATTGCCGCGACCACCTGTCGGAACAAACGGTGATCCAGATTCTGGAGCTACGTTGTTAGCTGCCGTTCTTGTCACACTTGATGAGGTTCCAAAAGTCAACCCATCTGCTTTATCCCCGCTTGCTACACTACGAAATGGGTTTCGAACAGAACTTGCTTGATGTTGAGTATTCGGACTCGGAGTGAAAGACACCGCACTAGTACCGCCATGGAAAGCGGACGAGTTTTGTTGAATATTACCTCCAAAGCCAATGTTGCTCGCACGGATTGCCTCCTCATTGCGCACATTAAAACCTGTTCCACCGGAAGAAAAAACTCCAGAAGTATGGGTTGAGTTTGTCACCACATTGGGAGACGATCCAAACATGGTTTGCTTCGCTTGCGGAGGATCATGATAATTGAACCCTTGTTGTGCAGAACCGACTGTGTTCTGCGCTTGTTGAAAACCTGAACCATTGGCGTTACTAGAAGTCATGGGAAATATTGACGAACCGAAAGGACTGGTGTTTTTTATTTGTGATTTTGATTGGAAGGAACCGCCGTAACCGAATCCGGAGTCACTTGGTTGCCCGAAGCCAGACATCGTTTTAAATCAAGCAATATTTTGCTTGCTACTTTGGCTTTGAAAAGTAGGGAAAGAGTTCTTGTTTTTTTCAACTGAACCACCTTGTGATGATTATTACAGCGCTTCGAAGGGCTCCTTTTCTCTATCCTCCATTAGAGGCATCTTTCACTCGGTGACGTAGCGAGGTACGAGAGATTCGGAACGAAAACGAGTGCGGTACACGTGTACCGGTACGATAACAAACATGGGGGTTTTACAAGATGTGTGCGAATCAATCTCTCGATCTAAACGTACGAATGACAGACAATCTCTGGTCCAAGTAACAGTCCCCTCAAGGTGATACTGATGTATCAGAGAACCATGTACTCCAAATTGGGCTAATATCAACCGCACCCCCTCTTTGGAGGACGTATCATCCAATACTGTCCAAGACTGACAATATCCGGCGACGGATGAAGACGTTTCCAAAATTTAAATCAAATTAGCAAGTCTTCCATTTTGCTTTCCTTTCCACATGATGTGTTCCATAAGACGATCACGAACGGGTCCAGGTTGAGTATGACAATAACCTTGGATTGGGACGCCCATCATTCTGAGCTTGAATTGTAATCTTTCAAGTAATTCAACACCTGTCTTTAGAGCAGCAACTTCAGAACCAAAACTGATTGTCTTGACACTGTTCTGCTTTTTCGAATACCAGATAATAGGAGCTATGTTAACAAAGATCAATACTCCTGTTCTTGAAATACTCCTGTTCTTGATTGACGAGTAACAATGTTAGCAGCGTGAGATGCATCAACAAACATAGTGAACTCTACCGCTTTGCCAAGAGGCGTAGGCATGTCACTTGGGAAGTTCGTCCTTAGTAAATTCATAGAACTGGCTGTAAGTAATCAGCTTTCTTCAATGGTCTCAGATGATCAGCATAACCACAATCCATCACAAGTATACAATCAGGATGCTTCTGTAAATAGGCGAAAATATCTAAGGCAGAATGAAAGTGACCTTCATGAGGCATTGCATTGTAAGACGAGAGCATAGAAACTTTGGCAGTGACATCAATACAACCAAGTTCCACAAGCCAGCGGAGAATGCCAATGAGCTGCATGTGAAGAATAGCAGTATCATCATTGACAAAGGCAGTAGAATCAAGTTCCGGCTTTATCCAGAGGGCAAAGTTGAATAGACCTTTTTCTTTAAAGTCAGTTGCATTGGGGCAATTCGTTTCTTGACAACTCTTAGCGACTCTTGGAGATATGCTTCAGATCCAATAGTAGCCCAGGTGAAATAATCATCACCATCCAACTTGTGCTTCAAGATTGTTGCACCAAGATATGTGGTTGACTCTTTTATCGATTCAGGTTTTAAAACAAAGAAACTGTTGAGTTTGTCAATAATTGCTTTTGGATTCTCCGAGATTGCAATGACGTCATCAGTATAAACTAAAATATACTCATACTACTTTGGACCATCTTTGCGTTGACAAGGACGACGCCAAACATCCATATCTCCACAACATGGTTGGAACTCCAATTGTTCCTTCAAAACGTCCGCACAGAGGCTCCTCCTGTCAGAAATATGAGAATACAACTAGCTGTGGGTGCCTCAACACCCCCAGTTCTTGATTCTCTCCTGAAATATGATCTTCGTCGGCTAGGGAATTAGATCCTGTATTGATAACAATCTATCGATACTATAGCAAACCATACATCAGTATTACTATATTAATTCATATCCATTTAGGATTCTGTTCGGATTGTGAGATGAATCGTATTGCCTTCAGATCTGGAAACATTCACAGATCCAAATAGGATTTGCGTTGCTCTTTCCCTAGACCTCTGTATCGATTCAACACAGAGTGTCAGAAGAGATAAAATGTCCTGTTTTGCTTCCATAAGAAAGCTTTAGAGCATCTCCAGCCAAGGCCGTCACTCGACTAGATAGAATAAATGTGATTGGCTGAAATTGGAAGACGTTCAGACCTTTTATGACTATGCCTCGAAAGAAGCATTCTTCGGTCTTGCCGTCAATCCAAAATTGATGGCACTGCCTCCCAGCCAAAAAAACTCCGTCAATCATCAATTTCACACTCAATTACATCGGTAGAAACTGCCTTGATGCCTTACAACTATTCCTCGTCTTCTACAAGTTTTTCATCAACATGTTCATCATCATCAGACAGCAGTGATGATGCAATGACTCTTGATCTGAGAAGGGACTTGGTTGAACATATAGACAGGTGGAGTTGCAATTAAAGTGAGTTGCAATTAAAGTAATATCCTAAAGTAATATCCTATTTAGAGTACTGCAACATCATCAAGTGAAAGACCAGACCCTTCAAGCATGTTTTGACTCTCTTCATTGATCAAAGCCTGCAGCTTATGCTTCTTGGAAGGTGGCGCAACTTTCATCAAGCTACGGTAGGTCTTCAACTTATTTTGGGACACCATTGTTTCGCACATTGCCTGCAGGCTAGCGGTACTTTCTTGAATTTGAGTCGCTAGAGTGTCGATCCGTTTTGCCACTTCCTTATGTCTTTCCTCATGTTTGACTTGGAGCATTTGGCCTTGATGGAGTCACGGAAATAGTTGGCAACTGTGTCACCATTTCGATCAGACCACGTTCCATGACGACGATCATCACCGGAAGGGAATTGCTTCTTCCATTCTTCAACAATCCGAGCATGGTATGTAGCGCCAGTTTGTTTGAGACCCTCCACTGGATCTTCAGAGACCTTACGGTAGTCAATTGCCAATGCCTTGATTTCCTCTTCTGACCAATGGGGTGGTTTTGATGATCCAACGTTGGCCATGGCTGATTGTTGAAAATGTGACACTTGGTACGGCGACAATACAGGGACATGAGTTGATTTCAAGTATGGGGCAAAGTTAGGGAAAGGGCAATGGCGCCAAAGCCTTTGGCGGTACCAGTACTGTCAGCTGCGGAGTTCTTGTGTTTTGTTTCACCACAGCAATGCACGAGTGATGAACAGAAAATTCATTTGACGGGCACCGTCAATCGACTAGATGGAATAAGCAATTTGGCGGGCAGTACATTTTTCGTGTAAAAGGTCCGTAGAAATTTGACGGCAATTGGCGGAGACCGTCAAATTTGACCCAAATTTGAAGGGATTTTGGCGGTCCGTCAAATTCGAAATGACAGGAGGGCATAAATAATTTTTCATGGCGACGCACAATTTTTATTCGATTGAGTCGATTGACGGTTGACGGCCTCGGCTAAACTTCCCAGAATATTCTAGAAGCTTGGCGTCTGCGCTTCTGTACTTCCCAAACTGTCCAATCCCTCGTATGGTCCTCTAAGTCATACGGGAACACACAATTTTCACAATTGATCACGGATCAGATCCAGGGAATATTTAAGTCCTAAGAATCCTCTAGTTCTCCATTTCTCAATATGGAAATTTGAGTACCGCCACCACACTCTTGCCGTTTTGGCATCGGCCAGTTGTGGATAACGGAACAGTCTTGTAATATAAAGGTCTTTCTTCATGTAACATTCAACTGTCCGTCCGTCTGTTAGAATAAAGATAAATGTGCTCTATCGTGAGTGCCTTTAGCGCTCAGAACAAACTCTCTGCAATCTAAATTCGTAATCGACTGTACAACACTTTCACGACAATAGTTCTCCTGTGTCTAGGTATACTTTGATTAAAATTGTTCTTATTTGATTAATGTTTGGCTTGAATTGATGATTCAATCACAAAAGTGAGTTCAACGATTTTCCCTTGGAAAATCCCTTGTTTACAGAACTCGATTCGACTTCTACCACAATTCTGTGTTGAATGCAGTACTTTGGGACATCTTGCATTATTCCCTACCGCATCGTACACAACATCAATATTCCACTTTTATAGGATCTTTTCCTTTTTGTGTGGATATAGATTGTCCGACAGACTTGCGTCCGGCATACTTGCGTCAAATCCCGACATCACGCACGATCAAAGTCCGATCGCACGTGTCAAAAACTTTGTACTTGAATAGTTTCTTTTGGAACGTTAAAAACTCATATTTCGTCATATCCCAACACACTCCTGCCATTGTGACAACCACCATTGGCAGCAATGGGACATGCTCTCATTCACTGTTTATTTTGTTTTGTATTTTCATTTGAACATATACATACTTGTCTGACCTATTCCTGTGGACCAAGAATTAGATCTCTGAACTTGCAAAACTTCTCACCTTGCAATGGCTTAGTCATGAAATTGTCAGTTGGACAGTATTCGATCTTAACATTTCCTTTCTCAACTTGATCTGTGATAAAGAAATAACGAATATTGATAGCTCGGCTTCTTTTGCCCGCGCTCTTGCGACCATTCTCTTCCAGTAGA